ATCTTCGTTACTTTCACTGAAGTGGAGTACTTAATTTCTCACTGCCAATGCTCTGATTTTCTTCTCAAAACACTGCTCTATAGGCTTTGCTCTGGCAAGCACGGCATTTTGCGAGAATATGGAAGGGCCGTGTATTTGGCCACTTGAATGAAAGGTGGCAGCGTGAATGCTACGAAGCCATAATTCAACATCTAGACGATGAGACTTTAATCGACACAATATTAGGCTGTGAACGATTACAGGTAAGTATCTTTCGGAGAAAGAAACCTTAGCAATCCATTAGGTTGATAGTTTGCAATGATCATTAACGTTATTTCTCTCAGATAGCCTTGCCCCGATCGAAATCAGAATCCGCTTTGGCTGTTCTGTTGTTAGTGGACGATGTTCTGGAAGTTGCTATGCAATTCCTCGTTCATTCATTTCATTTAGTTGTCACAAGTCGGTCATTCCAACAACAAGGGAAGGTACGTCAATAAACCAATGGCTTCTTTCGGTATCTTTGCAAATAGAAAAAGAGCATTTGTCAATTATCAGGGAAATGATATTTTTGAGAGAATAATTTTTGTTTTCACACAATTAATTGTAAAGATTGCTGGATAATTACTACTTTGTACAAGAGGCTCAGAAGATTTGTTTCATTGCCACAAGATGAAGTCCTCTATTTCTTGTACATTTGAAACAACATTAGCTTAATTTTTTGTTTTATAATGAATATTTAGGGATTAGCCTTAAATTTGGGCGTTCTGGAGGGCCTACTCCCCTCTGTCGTGCATTCGCTTTCGGCGGATGTGGCTATCAAAACTTTTAAAGGCTTAGACGACCTCTTGGAAGACATTAAAAACTCGCCACCTCCACCTACTCGTCCACTCAACATTCCACTGGATGAGTACAGCCCGGTCAGTGTAGATTATAGCTTCCCCAGAATAAAGTTAAATTTCAAAACTGCCTTTTTCAGAGGTTTTGCTCACTTGTTCGACGGATATATGAATTGGTTGATAAGCATCTCTTACATTATGCAGCATCTGTTGTAAAGGCTGATGCTTGGCATATGTTATCTGAACGTCAGCAAATGCGTATACAAGAAAGTGCGTTCTAAGGTATCTGTTGATTTTGGGCATATCTATAGAATCATAGCTTTCAGCGGGAATATTTGTGGAGCTAAGGCAACCAAAGGCGCCACCACCACGTTTTTCCAGTCACAACAGAAGCTATAAGCGATCAGCATCAGCTGGAGTGCAAGTTTCCTGCGAAATTCATCCCTTAGAACGATCAAAATCAATAGAGAGGTGTCTAGATTTCGAGTAAAACATAGTTATTCGGTTCATCTTCTATCTTCAGAGGAAGACCTTTGTCAACTATACAGCAAACCACTGCAAGTATGGAGGATGATATGCAAAAAACAGAACAAGCCGTGGATGATTCCAGCAAAGAAGCATCCGTGGAGAGAAA